TTAGTGCCTTAATTCACACAAATTGAAAAAGTGCTCCCGTATAGTCACAGTCTAAACGCATTTGCAAATAATTCTGTACGACATTTCACTTGTACTGTGCTTAGTTTGGCGGCATTTTCACATTTTTCAATAGTTTTCACAAAATTCGAATTGGAAAAGTGCTCCAGTTCATAAACAGTCTAAACACACACTCGGGTGAACATTTGTACCAGAGTGGCGCTTAGACTGTGCTTACCTGTGTGATTTTTTGAATTTTTTATCTAAAATTACGAAAATATTTTTTGTAAAAAAAAAATTAGAAACAAAATTTTTTTTCCAAAAGCAATTATTTTGTTGAAACAAGCAGAAAGTTCTTTGAATCATTCAAATCGGACGCTTAGTTCTCTTAAAAACTGCCATTTTTTCAACATTTAGCTCTGTATCTTTGAAATGGCTAGGCCTGCCTTTGCCAAAAACTAATAACCACTTCTCCCAATCATTACAAATTGAATGTTTTTTAGATCATTCAAATCGGTTGATCCGTGCGCCCGAAAACGTGGACCATAAAATATTTCTGTAATTTTGTATTACAAATGCTAGTGAAAAATGTGAAAATGCCGCCAAGCTAAGCACAGTATAAGTGAATATGTCGCACAGAATTGTTTGCAAATGCAGACTGTGACTATGCGGGAGCACTTTTTCAATTTTGTGCAAATTAGGCAACTATTTTTTTTTTTAAATTGAATTCGAAATGAAATGACGATTGTTAATGTTCCTGGAGATAAATTGATTTATAATTTATGATTTACATTTGATTTGCTCAAATATATCAAGATAGAAAAAATAATGAAAGTCACTGAAAGTATTTGTAATAATATATTTGAAAACGTTTAATATTTCTTGAATATTTCATTATGGTACGGGAAGTTCCAGAAATTTGCCTTAAGGCACGATGCCATACACCACTAGTTTAATAATCTGTTTGCTTACGATATTTCGGAAGTAAGATTTAATTATTTGCATGGTTAACATTTATATTGCATGTGGTGTGTTGTAAATACTAAAAATACAACTTACAATTTTTTGTGTGAATAATAATTGCAGTAGTAATATTATATATATATATTATATATATATATATATATATTAATATATTATTATTATTCCTAGATTTAAGTGTAAAATACGAAGCTTTACTGAAAGAAATGGCTGAACTGAAAACAACACAAAGCGATATCAACAGCAAACACTTGTTGGAGATTCAAGAGCTGAGGAAACAGTGCGAAGACATCAGGGAAGAAAAAATGGTAATAAATAAATTGTGATAATATACATGAATGGATTTATTATAATATACATGAATGGATTTATCATAATATACATGAACGGATTTATTTTAATATACATGAATGGATTTATGATAATATACATAAATGGTTGATAATTTCGTTTTTCTTTGCAGACGTTGGTTGAAAAAGTAGATTGTCTCGTCAGCGAGAAGACCATCATGGAGAATGAAGTCACTGCTTTGGTATCACAAAGGGACGAATTGGATGATAAACTTAAGGAGAGCATTGCAATTTGTGAGCAGATCAAGGATTGTGTTCAAAATGGTAATAAATGATTAATAAAATAATAAACGCTGTGAAAATGTTTTTCTGTACGATCAGGCGTGTTTTACATATAAACAAATCTAGAAAGAATGTTATGATAACTTGTTTTATATGTAAAATACGCCTGATCGCGCAGCAAACGTTCTCACAGGTTTTCATACCGAGGAAGAAGGATATAATAGCGTTGTCATGGCAACGCAATGTTATCGTCCATTTTACCCTAGGAGGTGACCATATTTTTTCAAAAATTTTCAAAAATGACAATTGCTATTTAAGGATACAATGAAAAAAGTTTTTTTTGTAAATCATTTTTTATCAACAAATATTGCGGACTTCTGTTTTTATATGTTTGTTTTTGCTTTTGAGCCTTGTATAAAATTCTATTCAATTTTCCTCACAATTAGTTTGTAAAATTGAACACTTGTTTGTTTATTTGCATAATTTTTGTTTTAATTTTTGTAAAACCGGGACAACCCGGGACAAGAGATCTAAATTCGGGACAAACATGGCTTTTAGAAAAACACAAGGTCACTTTAATTTTACCTTAATTTTTCTCCATAAATGTATTAAATAAATTAATTTTTTTTGTCTTTTTCCCCTTAGAACAAAAACAGCGCTCAACCCTGGTGTCTCGTCTAAATGCTGCCCTGCTCCAATCGGCAGCAGACAATGTAAGGCGAGCTCTGCACGAATTAGACGAACCGGCCGCTTCTGGTACTGCCTGCTCTCCTGATTATTTCAGGAAACTGCGGAGGATGCCTGCGCCAAATTGGAGATGTTGGGAGAGAATTCTTTGCCTTTGTCTGTTGTCAAAGTGAGTAGATAAAAGTTATATTTATAAATAGGATAGTTATAGTAATGGGCCGAAAATCGAAATTGGAAAAATTTTGCATTTCTCGACGTTTTGAAGGTTTCTGAACATTTTACTGGCATACCGCAGAAAAGTGTGTGAGTGTGTGTGTGTATGTTTTGTATGTTCGCACTTTTATTATTAAAAAAAGGACTCTACTGACGAGCAAACTAATGTAGAATTAAAGAAGGGGCTCTACTGACGAGCAAACTAATCCGGAATTAAAAAAGGGACTCTACTGACGAGCAAACTAATCTGGAATTAAAAAAAGGACTCTACTGACGAGCAAACTAATCTAGAATTAAAATAGGGACTCTACTGACGAGCAAACTAATCTGGAATTAAAAAAGGGACTCTACTGACGAGCAAACTAATCTAGAATTATAAAAGGACCCTACTGACGAACAGACGAGTATTTCGGTTTGCTCGTCAGTTCATATAATGCAAATATAGTTTGCTTGTCAGTAGAGTCCTTTTTATTTTCATGTCTGGTAAAATACAGTTGATGATGAAAAATACTAAATACAAAAATTCAAAAAATGAACCAGGCTAAGCACAGTCTAAGCGCCACTCTGGTACAAATGTTTACCCAAGTGCGTTTAGACCGTTTATGTTGGAGCACTTTTCCAATTTTGTGAAAACTATTGAAAAATGTTGAAAATGCCGCCAAGCTAAGCAAGTATAAGTGAAATGTGCACAGAATTATTTGCGAATGCGTTTAGACTGTGACTATATTGGAGCACTTTTTAAATTTTGTGCAAATTAGCAAATATTTTTTTTTTTGAAATTGAATTCGCAATTAAATTACGATTGTTAATGTTCTGGAGATAAATGATTTGATTTATGATTTACATTTGATTTACTCAGATATAACAAGATAGCAAAAATAATGAAAGTTACAGTATTTGTAACAATATATTTGAAAACGTTTAAATTTTCTAGAATATTTTATTACGGTACGGAAGTTGTCTAGCAATTTGCCTTAAAGCACGATGCCTTACACCACTAGTTAATTTATTTATTTATTTATTTTATTAGGACGACGGTGAGATTTCATTGGACTGTTGCAAAGACATAATAACCTGCGGACAACTCTTGTGTTCAGTAATTTCC